TCTGCCGCTACGGACATGCCAATCTGTTTTCAGTGCTACAACCCAGCAGAAAAAGCCTGTGGGTGGAGACTGCCGAAGGAACACACTTCTGCTGGGGCTCCTTCCCATCCTTGCAGGAACCTTCTTCAGTTCAGACTTGGCTGAGGCTGCCTTTTAAGGCCATTCAGATACAAGAGTCACCATCCAAAAATCCTAGAGAATAAAGAATAAGGTGCAAAATATTTTGACTATCAGTTGCATAGGTTAGATCATAAAGTCAGCATGGATGTAAAGCACACTCATAATTGCTTAAACATTGCTTTTTTAACTTGAACATCTTGCAGCCATCCTTTATTAGTACTTACGTCTTGCAGCAGCATGAGATTCTGGAAACTTCTGGTTCATTTTTCAGATCATAACATCAGTGGGTTATTAAAAAGTGTGTGGCTCATTCTATTTTAGCTTTTGGGTTTTTGTTTAAGATTGTGGATCTGAACCACTGCAAATGTCAGGTTTCTACGTAGCAGATAGTCCACAACTAGACACACCTACACTGGAGAAGTCTAAATTCTAGTTCACTCCACCACACTTGTCTTCCAACACTTGGCCTTGAGCAAGTGACCCTACATCACCAGGTAAAGGAGTGGTGGCAAGAACACTGCCCTAACCCACTGGGTGTGCTATGGATTAACTCCCAAGTGCCTTATTACCAAGCGAAAATGCTCAAATTGGAAAATGTTAAGAGCTTCCTGACTCCTTAGGAAACACAGCGGGACATGTTGAACAGGATGAATTTTTTGTTCTAAAATGTGATGTGTACTCCCAAGCTATTAAATTTATATAGCCAGCTTAGGTTTCAGTCACCCAATACCCAAGCTGAAGTCTCTTGCACTGCGGCTGACAATTATGAGATGGTTTGGGGTTGCAAAGGATGCAGAGCCACCGCCGTCCCTGGCTCCAGTCACAGCAGAGTCAGGTTTCTCTCATTTGTAATTTTGAAATCGAGCTTTCCCATCAAAATGCAGACTCGGACAAGGGACAATGGAGGAAGCCACCTAAGGTAGGGTATTAAGTGATTGCTAAATAATATTCTGACTTAGTGTTTCTCTTTGCTATACATTAGAAACCTATGATGCTGCCCTTTAACTAGAACTCAAAATTCACCATGACAGATTTATCATGGAGCCCAGTAAAGACCTCATGAGAAAGATTCACAGGAAGGAACCTACTGGGGAGACACCCCTCCACTTAAGTAACATGTCTGCAAGCATTTGGAGATGGAGTCTCCATCTTCGATTGATGAAAATTTCAACTAGCTCAAGAGCTGAACAAGTTGTAAGAGTAAAGGGTTCCAAGGATAAAGATGTCAGATGAAAGAATACTGCATTTTCAGTTTTAATTGTCATTACCCTATTCTTCAATGTCATTTAAATTACATGGTAAACATTCATAGATTAAGGAGACGCACATTAAAATTCAACTCTACTTTCATAGATCTCAAGTGAGATCCGCAGACGAGCAGACCCAGCGGGAGGGCAGAGCTACATTGCCAACACATACGCACTTTTTTTTACTTTTGGTTTAGAGACTCAAGATTCTGAGTGAGAGCCCAAAGTGCAGCCCAAACCGTAAACATCCCAATGCCTTAAACAGTCCAAATTACTTTGAAAATCAACATCCTCCATAAAAATCTCCAAACTGGGTGACTCTCCCAACAAAATATTCACTGAAATCCTTTTCACTGAAGGAGTCTTACATCAGATTAACTATTCCACAAGGCAGTTTATTCATCTATTTTGCCAAATGTGGTTTACTCGTCTATGAAACTGTAGTAAATATTATCTATGCTAAGAAAATACATAAAATTGCTCATCAGAGAGTCAAGCTGAGTGAATATGTCCTAACTTTTAAGTGCTTGCTAGTAGAAGTCGTTTACATTGTTTTCCTTCCTAATTTAAATTTATTGATGACTCTAGAGACACTGTAAAGTTCACTGCATACACACACTCCTCAACAATACACGTATGTTCTTACCTCCATTCCCTGTTAGGAATAATTTCTAAACAGTCTTCCCAAAGGGAATTAATAATTTTCATTGAACTGAAAAGATAATTTTGTAATAAGACACAGA